ATCAATCTGATTAAAATCATATCCTACGTTCTCTACGTATCACGTGATACGTAGAGAACGTAGGATATGATTTTAATCAGATTGGTTTAACATGTGTTACCCAGTACATATTTTGCGATAAATAAAATATTTGTAGGGTTAATGAGAAATGCTTCTGTTCCGAACAATGCCACACACACACAAAAACGGAAAATATTAAAATTGACAGAAAATTATTTTTTTGGTATTTTTTCCAAAAAAGTCCCAAAACTATCTGAATGTTTAGATTTTCATAAAATCAACTCTACATAGTTGCATAACCATTATATGAAAGTTTCAACGAATTTTGCTTGTTAATTGCGAAAGTGTGGAGCCACCTTAAACAATTCTTGTAATCGATATTTCTCAGGAAGTACTGTACATCTGTACATCTTTCTCAAATTTTATATGTAGCCTCCCCTTGGTCTGTAGTTGTGCATGTTTAATTTAAAGAATGATAAGATAAACAAAATGGCCGACAGGCAGCCATCTTGGATTGTGACATTAAAGGTTTGTAATCGCTATTTCTCAGGAAGTACTGGAGAGATCTTTCTCAAATTTGATATGCAGATTCCCCTTGGTTCCTTGTCGTACAGGTGAACTTTTGAGACTAATCAGATACAAAAAATGTCCGACAGGCAGCCATCTTGGATTTTGATAGTGAATGTTTGTTATCGCTATTTCTCAATAAGTACTGGAGAGATCTTTCTCAAATTTAAGATGTCGGTTTCCCTTGGTCCCTTGTTGTGCATATTTACTTTTGAGACTGATCAGATAAACAAAATGGCCAACAGGCAGCCATCTTGGATTTTGACAGTGGCTATTTCTCAGAAAGTACTGAAGAAATCTTTCTCAAATTTTATATGTAGGTTCCCCTTGGTCTGTAGTTGTGCATGTTTAATTTTGAGACTGATTTAGGCTCCCCTTGGTCTATAGTTGTGCATTTGTAATTTTGAGAAGGATCAGATAAACAAAATGGCTGACCGGCAGCCATCTTGGATTTTTACAATGAAAGTTTGTTATCGCTATTTCTAAGGAAGCACTGGAGGGATCTTTCTCAAGTTTTATATGTAGGTTCCCCTTTGTCCCTGGTTTTTGCACGTTTACCGGTGGCTATCTACGATTTTTGACATTAAAGTTTTTTTGTTAGGGTAATAGGTAACTTTGCTCTAACAAGTGGTCACCCTGAGTCAGGGTAATTTAGGTCACTTTCGACTGTTCGCCCAGTACTGTATGTATAACTGTAACTTAAAATGTTAATATAGGCCTAATGTAAAATCAGGTCTTCTATGCTCTTTGACTAAATGTTGTCATCCTCAGTCCTAGGTGAAAATTCCTTTTACAAATTTAAGTATGTGCAAGTGCAATTTTCACCTGGGACCGAGGATGCAATGAAGTATACTTTTGAACAGCAAATACAATTGATAGTTTCACTGAATTTTAAACTATATTTCTATCAGATTCTAGGTTTTTTCATTGGATTGAAAAAGAGGAATAATAAGACACTTGTAAATGTGGTAACCCATAACTTGCACTTCTGTTGGCAGAGACAACAAGATGACTGTCTTTGTGACTTAGAAGCCATGGCAACAAGTGGTGGATCCGGAGGAGAGACAGGATTTGAGACACTGGTCTGTCCTGATCTCATGTCTGACGATACCAGTAACCTTACTCCGCTGAGTCTGGCATGTAAACAAGGCAATGTAGAAATGGTAAAAATGTTGGTGCGGGAAGGATCGGATATAGGTGCTCCTGGTAACGATGGCAAGACCGCTCTGCATTACACATGTGAAGGAGGTGACAGAATTATAGATGGCAATGATGATGAACAGACAGATGATTTTCTCGAAATTTTACAGTTTTTGCTTGACAGTGGTGCTAATGTGGATTGGAAAGACAACATGGGCAGAACACCGCTCTTCACTGCTTGTGAGGCTGATGATATAGCAATGGTGTCATTATTAGTCCGACACAACTGTGATGTCAACATCCAGACAGTTGATGGTGACTGTCCAATCAGAGTAACATGTCGCAATGCTAAATTCTGGACCTATCGACCGGGATCCGGCACTCATACACAAAGCCATCCAAGTCGTTTTCCTCCAATACAGATTACAAAGGTAATTAATATTTTTTCTTATGCCGTGGCGCAGCGTCCGTCTTCCCTCTGTCTGTCTGGCTTCATTTTCTTTAAACAGCTTCTTCTCATTAACCAAAAGGACCAGGGTGATACTGTTTGGTATGTAGCATGCTGAGATGAAGAGCTACAAAGTTTGATCAAATGAATGACTTTGACTCATATATCGGGTCTTAGGAGTATATGTTTAAAAACTTGAAACAAGGGGTCAAATATGTTAAAAACAACTTACTTCTTCTGAATAACAAAATGGCTAGGATAATCATATGTGGCCAGAAGCATGCTGGGATGAATGGCTACCAAGTATGTTCAAATGAATGACCTTTGCCCTTATTTAGGGTCACTGAGGTCAATTGTCTTAAAAAACCCTTTAAACAACTTCTTGTTAATAATCAAAAGACCCAGGTTGATGCTATTTGGTCTGTAGCATGCATGGAGGAAGGGCTTCAAAGTTTGATCAATTGAATGACCTTCACCAATATTCAAGGTCATATATATAAGCTGTAATCATATCCCTATAAATGACCAAAGAGGCCAGGGTGAGGATATATTTGACCAGAAGCATGCTGGGATGAAGGGCTACCAAGTTTGTTCAAATGAATGCCCTTCACCCTTATTAAGGGTCACTGTTTTTGTCTCCAACTCCTGACAGTTTGTTCAAGGCAACATTCATTCATTGACACAAACATGTAGCAAGGTTTTATTGTATTTTGACTAAACTAAAATTTTGATCTTTGTAAAGCCAATATCTGTATACATACATAAAGATTTTTTTCTATTTCAGGTATTGCTGCAGGCCAATGCTGACATCTCTAAGGCAACGTTGTTGCCAACAGCCGTGCAATACAAAGATGCAGAGTTAGTGAGAGAGCTCCTAGAACTGGGCATGGACATTAATATGCTTGACGATAATCAGTGCACTCCCCTGGGCGCAGCCTGCTCCTCTGTAAATGTGCCCTGTTACATTGTCAAACTTCTTCTAGAGCATGGTGCTGATGTGAATAAAGGTGGTGGATGGAGGAAACAGAAACCACTCATATTTGCTTATGTTCACAATTCAGTAGAGAAGATAAGATGGCTTCTTTCATATGGGGCGTCTCTCACACCCGACGAAATGACAGAACTGGTATCGTTGAGTTTTTCCAAGTCCATTCTTGAGAACCCGGAAGTGATTGGCCCTTACAGCAAAGAGTTGATGTCCTGGCGCCTTCTATTGGCTGCTGGGTTTCAGCCATCGGGTCAAAGTGCCCAGCTGACATACAAGATGCAGCAACTGAATATCTGTAGTAGTTATGATAAGATATCGCCATGGATACAGAGCATGCTTTACCCAATGCATTCGTTGAAGGAGATCTGCCGCATCTGCATCAGAAATAGCATACCTGCCAGCATTGATAACAATGTAAAAAAGTTGACACTTCCTAAATCTTTGAAAGGCTTCCTTTTATTTAATGAATTTAATTTTGCAAATGCAGATACACAGACAAAGTAGACCCTTGACTTAAATGCAAGCAATGGTTTAAAAGTCATTTTTGATTGCCCAACGGTACTGATGTAATAAATATTAAGAGTCTAGCAAATTAAGGCAATATGGGTAGACTAAATTGCTGTTTTGGATTTTTTTAAAATAGTTAAGTGTCCAATTTTTGCATTCACCATTTAACACATTTCTGAGTAAACAAAAGCATTTTTTTTTTATAGAGAAACTTGTTTTTTTATCAATACTTATATTTCTAAGAAGAACATCTTATGATGCTGTCAGAATAATGTTGAGTACAACTATCATAATATTTACATTGTGTAATGCCAACTGCCTGAATATTTGTTGTGCCAACTGTAAAAAGCCATGATTTGTATTTAAAAAGGCTGCAAGCTGAAATGCAATATTGTTAAAAGAATTAACAATTATTTTGTATTTGTAAGTTATTCTAAGAATGATTTACAAATACCTAGTCTATGATAATACATTGTACCTGGTGCATTATTTCATTGTATCTAATTGAATGTGTTGTATTTGTATGTGTCGAGTTTGTCTTTCCAAAAGATGACAATTGAGAAATATTTCATACTGCAATAGAATGAATTAAATATTTGCCGCCGTTATATATATATGTGCCAATATGTTGATTAACTAGCCACCTGTAAAGCTTGTGTTTTTGGTGTAGTTCAATGTTTTTGCTATTTTTTAGATAGATATTTGTAACAATAAGATCAAATGAATTTTTTTATTCATTTAGAGAAATTTGGTATGGGAGCGCAGTATTTCACTAATAGAAATTTATAAAAAATTGAGACATATATATGACAACTTTTGTTAACATTTGGAAAATATGGTTATTTTTATATATACCCCCAGTATATTTGCAACGGATTGGCGATTTTGAGAAATGTACCAAATTAAGTTTGTAAGCGCAACTTACCGATGCATATGCCATAAGATGTTATCATTATAATCAGTAATTTAATGTATGCAATGCAGCCTCTGAATTAATTAACTAAAGGTAAATATGGATTTAAATTATTTATTCATATAATATACAGAGTGGTGAAATTATGAATTGATGGATGAACACTTGTTCCCTTGTGTTAACGGATGTACTTTATACATGGCGTACGAATAGGGTCGAGATTTGGCTAATAATAATAGACTGGTTGTCTCTTGCCTTAATCTTTCCAGGTTTTGTTTGATAATATCTACCGGTGATTTTTAGGTCACCTTTGCTAAAGTGACCTATTCTAATTGCTTTCCGTCCATCGTCATATTTTTTTTACATTTTCAACTTCTTCTAAAATTGAGATTCCTACCCCAACCCCAGGGGCCAGGGCGGGGCCCCAAAGGGAAAATTAACCAATATTTCGAAAATCTTCTTCTCCAGACTCAAAGGTACTACAGTCATTTTCTCTGCATGGAACGAAAGATCATCAGGGGCTTTATTTAATTTGTAAATTTCAGTACCCCCGAGCTTTCCGTTCTCCATTGGGGAGAGTTTAAAGTTTATTATAGTTTATATAGGGAAATAACACTTTTTGGTATATTTTGACAAATTTCTGTAGGAAATTATTTTTACTTCGTGAGAATTATCATTGGAGGTAGATGGTTTCAAATTGTAAAATTGAAATTCCTACCCCAACCCTAGGGGCCAGGGCGGAACCCCATAGGGAAAATTAACCAATAATTCAAAAATCTTCTTCTCCAGACTCAGAGGTACTACAGTCATTTTCTCTGCATGGAAAGAAAGATCATCAGGGGCTTTATTTAAGTTGTAAATTTCAGGACCCCCGAGCTATCCGTTCTCCCTTGGGGAGGGGGTAAAGTTTACTATAGTTTTGTATAAGGAAATAGCACTTTTGGGTATATTTTATCCGTTTTCAGCAGAAAATTTCTCAAACTTAGTCAGAATCATCTTTGGTGAATGAGGGTATTACATTGTAAAATTGGGATTCCTGTCCCATCCCCAGGGGCTAGGGCGGGGCCCCAAAGGGAACATTTACCAATATTTTAAAATTCTTATTCTTTGATGACATGACAAGTATTGTATTTCACTTAGTTTACATGCTGATTTCCACATCACATCTAAACAATAAAATAAAGCTACCAGTACCTATGATATAACTCAGGTGACTGCTAAGGCCCTTGGGCCTCTTGTTATTGTACTTGTCAAACTCGACGAGTCTGTTCAGAATATGTCTGTTACAGAAATATTCACGTACTCTTGCAAGTTTAATGTTCAAGTACATATAAAGCATTGTTATGTACACCCATCCCCCAGTTGGGACAACTGTAAGGGAACTGGGTTGAGTGACTACGGGGACAGGGAAGCTCATTTGGTTAGAGTTCAGGTCACAGGTTTGAATCTAAGTCTTGTCATGTCGCAGTTTTCCCATCTTGTTACATTGTTGCCAGGACCAAGATCACTGCAATCCTATTTTCCAATTTTATACCCTTGAAAACAAAGTTATTTACACCTTAGTTTGGGTATCCTTTCGATAAGCACACAGAGTGTTTGAAACGTCTGGTAGGTTAATCTCTGACACCATGCACTCTAACAGTTTGAGTCTTTTCTATCCTCGATACTTCAGGTTATGCTCACTTTCGCTCTCTGCACCCCTGGATATATCATAGCAACATCAAAGACTGTGTGTGCCACCTTGTAGATGAGACTAGGAGACTTGTTTGATCCTTTGATGAACATCACAGGAATCTGTTTGTCCTGTAACAGTAAAAATTGACTGGCTTTGAAGTCGGTTGTCACTCCTCTGTAGTCTTCAAAGGACTGGTATCAGCCTAGCGAATGGTCAGGTGTTTTTTTTACCTGAGACTAATCAAATAGCTAGCCGGGTGCCTTCAATTTTGCTATGACATATTCCAGGGGTGCAGAGAGCGAAAATAAAGCGTTGCTCCTGGAGTATCGAGGATGGGTCTTTTCCTGTTGAACTTTTTCTGTCTTATAACAGTGGTGCCAGAAGCAAAATCACTGCAATCATATTTTCAAAATCTTCTATCCAGAACACAACACCACACAGTTTGGGTATCCTGATGCACTTGAAACAAAGGTTAACGTAATTGCTGGCACCACTGTGTAACCAGAGAGAAAATGCAATTTAGCCTTGGAGGATTTTAAATTGGAACCTTGTACATTAAGACCAACACTGTAACCATTTTGAGCTACCTCCTCAGCGGTAGTCAGTTCAACTACACAATGGTGCAATCTTCATTGTACTAATTATTAATTTAGATAACTTTGTAATTGAATGTTACCTGAATTGTACCTATTTATGAAAAACACTGAAGCTGTAAGCATTCTAATATTACCTCATTGATAATGAACATAGTTTTTAGAACTTTAAAATTTGGAATACAAATGTTTTAACATTTTGATTGCTTTTGATGACTGAATAACACTAAAAGTTTTTATGTAATTAAAGTATTTGTTGTTTTGTGACTAGGATATGTAGAGTCTATTATAATTATGCTGTGTATTCTGCTGTATACCAGGGTAGTTTTTGTTTACAGACTTGTGACATATCAGGACTACATGAATTACTTTTACACCTACATGATACAGTTAGATATATTATATGATTTATTAGTCCCTCACCAGTTACTGGGGGAGGGGTAGACTATAGGTTTGGACTCTTTCCGTCCTTTCGTCCATATTTTGTCCATACCAAAAGTTTGTCCAGACAATTTGTTTTATACTATTTCACCTGGAGTATCCAGATTTGGAATAGCAGTACATTTTGGGATGGTGATGTACCATGTATAAAAAAGTATGTCACTGTGACCTATGGTTTGACCTTTGTCTTTAACCCTTGAAAAGTTTTGTCTTGGCATTTTTTCTATAAATTTTAGCTCGCCTGCCCGAAGGCGTCGGTCGGCCGTCCGTCAACTTTTTGTTTAAACGACTTCTTCTGAAGGTCTGAAAGTCCTACAGTCATGATATATGGCCAGTACCATTCTATGATGGAGTCAAACAATGAAAATGACCTTGACCTACTTTAAAAGTCACATGGATCAAACAGGTCTTGGCCTTCAAACGACTTGTCTGAAGATCTTAAAGGCCTAGAGTCATGATATTTGGCCAGTAGCTTTCTATGATGGAGCCCGACAAAGTTTGCGAATGAAAATGACATTGACCTATTTTCAAGGTCACAGGGGTCAAAAAGGTCTAAACCTTCAAACCACATCTTCTAAATATCCGAAAGGCCTTAAGTCATGATATTTGGTAAGTAGCATTCTATGACGAAGCCCAACATAGTTTGGAAGGAAAACGACGTTGACCTACTTTGAAGGTCACAGGGGTCAAATAGGTCAAAACATTCAAATGACTTCTTCTAAAGATCAGAAAGGCAAAGAGTCTTGATATTTGTCCAGTAGTATTCTATGATGGAGACCGACAAAGTTTGCGAATGAAAATGACCTTGATCTACTTTCAAAGCCACAGAGGTCAAAAAGGTCTAAACCTTCAAACGACTTCTTGTGAAGATCTGAGACGCCTGAAGTCATGATATTTGTTCCTCAGAGTCTGACAAAGTTTGACAACGAAAATGACCTTGACCTACTTTCAAGGTCGATGGGTCAAACGTGTCAAACATTTTAACGACTTCTTCTAAAGATCTGAAAGTTTTAGTCTTAATATTTGGCTGGTAGCTTCTTTTGGTGGAGCACAACAAAGTTTGAGAATAAAAATGACCTTGATCTACTCTCAAGGTCTCATGAGTCAGGTATGTCAAACGCTTCAAACCATGTTTTTGAAGAAATGAAAGGTATAGAATCTTAATATCTGACTGGTATTTTCTTTGGATTGAAGTTGAGGAAGTTTGCAAATGAAAATTACCTTGACTTTCAAGGTCACGGGGGTCAAATATGTCAAACACGTCAAATGACTTCTGAATAAACGAAATACATAGCATCATAATATTTGCCTGGTGGCTTCTTGGTATAGAGCTCATCAAAAGTATGTGAATGGAAATTACCGCAACCTACTTTAAATGTCACAGTGGTCAACAAAACTTCAAACGACTTGTTCTGAAGAACTAAAACGGATGGATTCATAATATTCGTCTGGTAGCTGTTTGGGATAGAGTCAACAAAGTTTGAGATGGAAAATGACCTCGAGCTTCTTACAATGTTTCAGGAACAAATATGTCAAACACTTCAAACAACCTCTTCTGAGGAATCGAAGAGCATAGAATCATATAATAATATTGAGCTGGTAGCTTTAATGGATTGAGCCGACAAAGTTCGCGATTGAAATATTTGTAGTACAGTATGATATTTAATGAGAATAATTTGCTTAAATATCCAGGTTAGCGATACAGGCCCTCTGGGCCTCTTGTTGAAATAGTTTCCAAAACTGCTTCACTTTTTTCAATCAACTAATTCTAATCGTTATATATTGTTGATGATGATGATTTCGATGATGAATAATGATGATGATGATGATGATGATGATGCATGTTGATGATGATGATGGTTGATATAAATGAAGGGGAATTAAAAGTGATCTGAATGTGGGAATGGATGTGAAACTACTTCTTTATATCCAATCAACCTAACTTCACGATATTTGTCCAACAACTCTATGTAACAAAACAAACAGGTTAACGATACAAACCCTTCTGGGCCTCATGTTTCACCTGAAGTAACAAGATTTGGTATGTAGTATGTCTTGGCTGATAGAGTGCGATCCCTGTTTTACATATAATCTTTATGACATTCAATCAGCTATAAATGCCACGGCCAGTGTGTTGCCGTTATAATTATGATGTCATTAATGTAACTTTTGATAACCACTGATCCTCCCATGAAGATGGCTTTGGGATTCATGAAACAAGCACAAACGATACATACATTTACTGGAACTAAATGCTGCAATTATTGAACTGCTTTTAGTTGGCATGCATAGTCAATATTTACTATGAAAGCAAACTGAAAACATTTCAATGCTTAGATCATCTCTTGATAGGACGATAGACACGATATGTGACTGATGTTAGCTTCCCCACTTTGTTGTTCCGAACCGTTTTTAAACAAGGTTGGCCCTTAATGAAGTTAAGTTCAAAAATATTGTACATTCTCCTTCAGTTTTAGCTCACCTGGCCCGAAGGCCACAATGCCATGGGTGATGATATTTGGCCAGAAGCAAACTAGGATGAAGGGCTACCAAGTGTGTTCAAGTAAATGACCTTCACCCATATTCAAGGTCACAGGGGTCAAATTGGTTAAAAGTCTTTAAACCCCTTGTTCTGAATAACCAACAGTCTTAGGG